AAAAACACACCTGGAGTTGTGTTTTGTTTCGTTCACACATGTTACCCTGCAAGATTAGTTTCTCTTCAAAGCTGAAAATTTCCACCTTATGATGTCATGTAGTGGTAGTTTCCAAGTTAACAGCTACCTTTTACTTTTAGTTTAGTAGAGATTGGTCATTCCAGGTTTGTGTGTTAAACGTGTGAATGAAACAAAACACAAGTCCAGGTCTGTTTGTGATGCGGAAACAACATTATCACACAGATCAGGAAATGGTGTAAAACGGGCCCTTTATAATTTGCTGTTTTAAATTCAAATCCACACTTTGGGGAACATTAGCACAATCAAACTACTGCAAATATAAACAACACATACGTTACCTGAACAGCATCTCTTCATTATCAGCTATATCACGTCCAAGCCAAAGGTGACATCTGGCACGTAAACAGCGGAAATGCTCAACCAAACACAGACGGTCTATAGAGATACCGACCCCAAAAAGAACATCTGATTTCAAAATACTGCATGCTCCACTGATCGTTTCTATCATCTATTCACTCTTCCGTAAATCACAAGCAAACCTTATCACAAGGCCAAATATGCGATGCACATGCCAAAAACATTTCAGTTAGAGATTACTGTAACTGTACTGTCGGATTTTATGAAATTAACTGTTTGCTTTTTTTGCAATTCATAGAAACTGTGCAGGCGTTTTACATATGTGGCAGAAGACCTTACAGAGGAAATACTCCAAAATTTGCCAGAGGGAACACTTTTTGTGGGAATGAACCATTTCATCACCAAACAAAAACACAAGAGCGGAGTGAGAGCGAGGTCTTTCCTGTTGTGTTCACCTGGCTCCCCCTGGACACTGTGGTGATGCTGCAGGACACAGTTAAGGGACACTTTTGGCTCTTCCTCTCCTCAAACTACCCTGACACAGATCTGCTGACCCTATCTGACCAGTCCCACCTCTTGAACAGCACTCAGACTTTTCACTGAGACACAAAGACCACTGAGAAGAGCAGTAGAAATGCTGCAGAATAACTTGAATTTCCCTCTGAATCAATTAAGTCTTGAGTTTCTCTCATGATTTCAGTCCTTATTATCTCTGTCTATGTTATTGGTGGTTTTCAGATTCTAGAATGTGATGGTCATACTCCCCAATGGAGGGCAAGAGAGAGATTTTCCTTTTGATTTTCCTCTGATTGTGTTTTCATAAGAAATATCTGAATGTAAAACTTAAAAAGTTGAACCTGATCATTTTTATTAGTGACTACATCATGGGTAGGCATATGGAAGATAATTTGTTCCATCAGATTTTGAATTTTAAATACCACTGAATTTCTCACTTTGAATTTTTTAACTCTGAAAAAAGATGTTTGAATTATTTTTATTCTGAATTTTAGTGGCTGAAATTTGAAGTTTACTTTCAATTTAAAAAAAACAAAAAAACACCACAGGTATTTTCAAGCCCTCAAATTCACCAGTCGAAATTCAGAATGTAAAATTCGCTGTGAAAAATTTCAGAGAAAAGCTCCAAGATGCCAAGGCAGAAGCAATCGATCATGTGAGCGAGGAGGACAGAGGCTGTTTCCTATTGGCTGTTCTCATCTGTGGGCGGGGTTTACACTTAAGAAATCAAAGAGATGAGGTTTCAATGAAGCTATCTCTGACCAATCACATCGTGTCACTGTAACATTTCCTGTTTCTTACTTAGTTAGATCGGATCACTTTGGATCGATTGCTTCTGCCTTGGCATCTCGGATCTTTACTGTGAATTTTCTTCACTGCGAATTTTGCACTCTGAATTTTGACTGTTGAATTTGAAGGCTTGTAAATATTTGTGTTGAATATTTAAGGTGATTTAATTTTTTTTTTTTTTTTTATTTTATACACTGAAAATGTACACTTAAAATTTCAGCAAACAAAACTTCATAATAAAAATAATTCAAACATGATTTTTCAGAGTAAAAAAATTCTAAGTGAGAAATTCAACAGCATTTAAAATTCAGAATCTGATTAAACAAATTATCTTCCATATAGGCAAATTTTTTGACTTGTGGGCCACAAAGGGTTCTAAAGTTTGATGGAAGAGCCGGACCAGGAGCAGATGGATGGGTTTTTTTTGTTTTGTTTTTTTGGTAATCCACCTCATAAGAGAAAAAAATAACATGAGGATGTGTAGAAAACATCTCCCGTGTTATTGAAATATCCAATCACTGAAAATCATTACAAAGCATTACAAGAAAATATCTGTATTTCAAGTCCCACTGTATTCACTATTTACTGAAATTACTTTTAAAACACTGAAAATTATTATTATCATTACTATTATTCAAGTTTGGCGAGCCAGATAGAAAAGATTAAAGGGCCGCATATGGCCTCCGGGCCATAGTTTGCTCACCCCTGGACTACACCTTATAACTCACCATATAACAACAAGACACTACATTTTAGCAGTATTATTTTTACCTGCCCCCATCTGTATTACATATTATTGTCTTATAGAATGATGTGACGTCATCTTAAACCCAGCAATGAAAGGTATAATACTCCCTACAACAGAAGCATAGCGAGATTTTCAACGTTTTGAACTCCAACTCATGTCTCTTCTATCACCTCTCAGCCTACCACAATTTATTCTGTAACAGTACCTTTTAACACTAACTTTTCAGACTCTTTCTGAATTGAATTCCATGACAAGTTCGATACAAAAGCCTAAAACATATCCAAGAACATACAATAATAGTGAGTATTTGTTGTAGTGCCTATTTGTTGTATTACTTTGCCTAGATCAAAAGGTAATGTGTCTCTAATGAAGACAAATACCTGATCTTATTCTTATCTATAAAATGTTCACTGATTTCACTCATTCAGAAACTGTAATGGCACACGGAACATCGCACAAAAGCATCGAAAATCAAACACCAATCGATACAAAAACGAGAATGGAAACCAGATTTGAGCAGGTATCTACAGGCTACTAAAAAGTCACATTCACAGGACAGAAATGAACCTTTTGTGAATAGTTTTACAGTGATCTTGAGCTGTATCAGAACAAGTATAAGAGCGCATAGACCGGAATACACTCATGGAACACTCTGGAACCTACCTGGACCACTGAAGGATTACATAGATATAAGACCATATGGGAACAGAAGAGAAAGTACTATGATTTAATGTTAAAAATGACATTCTATTGACTAAAGAAAGTGTTTTAATTATCACTGTGGTATCGGAATTGGTATTGAGTATCGAGTCTATTTATCATGTATCATGTAAGGCAGGGGTCTCCAACCTTTTTCCTCTGGTGTGCTACTATAATGAAATGAAAATGCCAGAGAGCTACTCATTTTAGCGGTCGCAAGAAATTGAGAAAGTATAAGAGCTTTAGAGAGGGTACAATTAGATGCCCATTAAATATAAACCATTATCCATTTAGTAGTGTACAAGTTAGACATCAAGATGACACATTTACAATAGTAATTAATCAGACTTTAATTGTTAAATTAATATAATTCAGAAATTCTTTAGCAAGTTGCCTGGAATGGGGTGGAGAGTTACTAGTAGCTCCCGAGCCACAGGTTGGAGACCCCTGATGTAAGGCTAGTGCACTGTAAACTAAATATTGATTTTAAAAATGTACATAACCAAAGTCAATTTTGTTTTAGTATTTGCAAAGCCCTTAACACAATTTTTCAAGTAACAAATCCATCTATAGCCAGTGTTGGGAAGGTTACTTTTAAAATGTATTCCCCTACAGATTACAGATTACATACCCCAAAATGTAGTTTGTAAAGGAATCCATTAAATTACTTAAAGTGAGTAACGTAATCTGAATACTTAGGATTACTTGATTTGTTGTAGAGAAGCAAAGACGAGGATATCGTAACATAAGAAGTTTTGTCTGATAAAAGAAAATAAAATGCCCAGTCTTTCCTTAACTGTATTAAAAATATTATTGATAGAAGAGGAGGAGGAGACATGGTCCGTGCGGCATGGTTTAGTCCTGTTAAATCCTGGTTTATACCTGGTTTTAGACCTGGTTTTAGACCTGGTTTAGACCTGGTTTTAGACCTGTTTTAGACCTGTTTTTAGACCTGGTTTAGACCTGGTTTAGACCTGGTTTTAGACCTGGTTTTAGACCTGGTTTTAGACCTGGTTTTAGACCTGGTTTTAGACCTGGTTTTAGACCTGGTTTAGACCTGGTTTAGAACTAAGTTTAGACCTAGTTTAGACCTAGTTTAGACCTAGTTTAGACCTACTTTAGACCTGGTTTAGACCTAGTTTAGACCTGCTTTTAGACCTGGTTTAGACCTGCTTTTAGACCTGGTTTAGACCTGTTTAGACCTTTTTAGACCTGGTTTAGACCTGGCTTTTAGACCTGGTTTAGACCTGCTTTTAGACCTGGTTTAGACCTGGTGTCCGGCAATGAGTGGAATTACGAAAAAATAAATAAAAAAAGGGGGATTTAGCTCAAAATGTAAAATCAGGAAACTACCGCAGTGTAATCCACTTATTTCAACAAAGTAATTGTAATCCAGTGACCACTCACTGAAACAGTAACTTGTAACCGAATACAGTTACTCATAATTTGTACTCTGATTACGTAACTCTGGTACATGTAATCTGTTACTCCCCAACACTGTCGATAGGTTTCAGAAAGATTAAAAATTGTAACTACAGAGATTAACAACTAAAAACATCTTTTGAATAAGAAAAGGTCCGCCAAATGTTACATCAGAAGTGAAAACCTGTGAACACAACCTTTTATAGCCAATAAGAATGTCAACTCCAACTCCAACAGCCAAAAATCATAAAAGGAAGCTTCACAGACCGCCAAAATTCCAAGCCACAAATCTCAGTCTGTGATCTGACATGGATCCAACATAACTCGAGGCATGATAACATCAACTTTCACAAGCAGCTTCAAGTCTCCCAGCGCAAAACCGTCGCCCATGGGTGCTCATAACAGCGGTGAGCGGCGTACAAAAGAACAGAGGTATTAGCTGACTCACCTTGCCGAAGTCCCGGACGTCGAAAAGGTCGAAGGGGTCGAAGAGTTCGCTGTTGCGCAGGCCGAACTTGTCGTGGCAGACCTTGAGAAATGTGCGGATGTTCTTCAGACACAGGAACTGCAAGGTGAAAAGAAAGAAAAGAAGTTAATGCAAATTTGGTTGCTAGTGGTTATAGATTTTTGTAGGGATTGCAGCAAGTTCACAACATTACATTACAGATTTTTCAGTTCCAATATCAATTCAGATTATCAACCAATACCATTACAGAAACTGGGAAACAGCATTTATTTCTTACTAAAACAAATAAGATAAAACTGATTCAAATGTTTTATAAAGCTGTTATTCAACACAAGAGCACAGAACACGTTTGTATAAATAAAAATTCATACTTTTATACTACTTTCTGAACCAACTGCGACCAATAAATTGCCTTATTATATCGATTTATATGTCCAAGGAGGATACTGGCTGAACTGATATCTTGAAGTCGTCTGATCCAGCTAATTTTTCAGCCAATATTCAAATTGGATTAGAGCATCCCTGATAAATTCATGGTAAAAATGCTTGTGCCAGATAATAGCAGAAAGCACTGGTTTCTACATTACATTCTACAGTTAAAACCAATGTTTGAAAACCAAATTCGATTAAGTATTAAAGTCTTCAAATAATATTATCTGCAAGTATTTTAACTTGCTTTAGGGATGGGATGAGACACAATTTCTACGAGACAAAACGTGTCGAGATTCAGTCCATGAGATCGAGACGAGACGAGATTTTGACATAATGTTTGATAGATAAATTGTAGGGATGTAACAATAACAGAAATATCGTGATATCGTATCGTTAGAGTTCTCACAATAATATCATGGACCATCACAATATCGAAATACAAGTCTCTTTGCTTAAATTAAGAGTTATGGCGCAGCAATAGCTAAAAAACACACAGAGGGAACTACATAGACCATGATCCTTTGCTCTATTTCAGTGTAGACTACATGAAGAAATAACAGTTCTAAGCACTTTTAAGTCTTAGTTCTTCGGATTAAGTCTTGCCAAGGCATTTTAAGAGGACAGTTTTGTTAGTCTCCACATAATATCGTAATAAATATCGTACTGTGAGATGTATATCATGAAAACATTGTACCGAGAGATTTGGATATTGTTACATCTCTAATCGTGAGCCATATCATGAGAAATAATACCACAATATCGCAATAAATATCATACCGTGAGGTTCATAACGTGACGATATCTTATCGTGAGACTTGGATACCGTTACACCCCTGATAAATTGTGCTGTTCAGTTCATAATTTTTGCTTCACAATTTTTGCTCAATCTGTTTTTTACAGTTTTGTTGTCATTTGTTGTCAGTGCTTTTCGGTATCCCAGCTTCTCAAGGGGAGTTACTCAGCAAAGTTAACCCCTTTCTCATCCAAGGCAAATGGAAAAATGTAAGCAAAAAATCTCACGAGATAATATTCCTCATGTGTGCACAGTCTTCGGGCAATTTTGTCTCGTGAGATCTTGTGGCACGAAATCTTGATCCATCCCTATATGGCTGGCTATACAAGTCAGTTTCACAGTTTCACATCAGAAAAACTTTTAGTCAAGTTGAGTGAGCAGGTGTGGGCAACCGTAACCATAAAGACCAGGGACGCCAGGAGCGGGATACAAACTTTTACCACCTCAGTGAAGCAACATAATGTTTCTAACGACTTCTGCGGATGGTGAGCTTTGCCGCAAAATCTGGCACATTTTTAGAAGCTGTGAAGTTGTGTTAAGACTGAACCGCTCGCAATTCCCACACAAGGTACCCACGATGAGATAGTGCAGGATAAAGGGTTGTGCATATCAACAGAGCATGAAGCAGCATTTTCAGCCGTTCCAAGCCTATAATGAGACGCATATCCAAGGGCAACGCCGTCCCCAGCCACACCCAGAGTCGATGCACTAGCCTGGGGTCACTGGCCCTGGATCAAGACCCTGACCACCGGCTTATCTGCAGGTACCATTTATGAATACTTAACGTTGCATTAAAGCTGCACGGCGTAACATTTCTAGTGGAGGGTCCGCCACCTGCTTATCCCCATGGAAATGTTACTGCCTTGTCTAGAATGTTCCACAGTATAGATTAAGACTATCTATCACGGAAGGAATTACTGTATTTTTGAGCAATAGAAATTCCTGTAATAATAAATGCTAGATGGAAATGTTTCAATCTCATACTACGGAACATTCCAGGCAAAGCATTAAAGCTGCACTGTGTAACTTTTCTGGTAGAGGACCCACTAGTTTATTGTCTCCATGGAGATTAAGGCTGTGCAATTAATAGAATTTTGATTGCGATTTGTGAGTCAAATGATCTCAAAACGTAACAGAGTGGAAATGAACATCTGGATATAGAGTTTATTTTGGATACATTTATGTTTTTCTATGCCTTATTTCATGTTCAAAGTATATTTTATTCATTTTATATTTTATTCGTCACAAAACTGCTCTAAGGTTCATATTTGTAGTCTATATTTATGTTTAATTTGAAAGTTTTGCAGAAATTATCGATAACAAAGTGTTTATTTTTTGAGAGAAATGCTGAATAAATAAAGCATCATGTAACTAAAAAATAATCGTTTGAATAATCGTGATTTCTATATTGACCAAAATAATCATGATAATGATTTATTCCATAATCGAGCAGCCCTAATGGAGATCTTATTGCTTTACCACTAATATTCCAAAGTATATCATTTAACTTTACAATGTCCATAGAAAATATATAGCAGGAGATGCCACCAGGACAATTTACATGTGAGATCTGTGAAGAGGCGACCCCACTCACAGTCAGAATGTGTGTTTTTAAAGGTATTCTTGATCAATAAAAACACCAATAACTGAATAAATGCATCTTATATAAATTTAATACCAAATGGTGGAACATTAAAGGCAAAGCAATAGCATCTCCATGGTAGCGTAGCCAGGCTGGCACCATCTAGTGCCTCTGCTTAATTTCATTTCTCTCCAGCGACTAGGGCTGGGTATCATTAAGAAGTTGCTGATACGATACATACCTCAATACATAGGCCACGATACGATACATATCTCGATACAGTGAGCTTTCAATTCAATATGATATATTTTAAATCGATTCGATACAGTTTACAATAAAAATAAAGGCTAAATCATGTCTGTGATAGTAAAAGTCTTTGTTAAACCACTTTTTGTGCAAAGTTCATATGAAATACAAACATTTTAATTTTCAAAACAGTGAAAATGTCAAATGTGTTGCATAAAAAAGTTTCTTTCCTAAACAAGTACCAAAACTGTAGCTCTGTAACAAAATAATTTAGTGAAATATACCAAAAAATACTCTTGGTGATATATCGATACAGCAGCCCATGATATCGATACTGTATCATTACATTAAGCGATACGATATATTGATATTTCAATATTTTTGCACACCCCTACCAGCGACTAGGTCAGAATTCAGAATATACTTGACTCTTTGCAAGAACCTCGGAAGTTGAGCTGAACCCAACCCGAGTTGCGATGGCAGACTGTTTACACTATCCTCCTTTTGAACTTCCTTTGTCAAATACAAACTTTTTTCATTTTTTATTGTGCCTTTAATTCGCAAGTTCACCTTGCAGAAACGACAATGATCGTTGACAGACATGTTCACTCTCTGCTTTGTTTGCTGTCGTGCTGACACTTACTTGGACACCACTGCATTACATATGTCACAACAAAACAGCAGTGATTGGTTATAGGGATGGGCATTCGATGAAATTTTCTTAATCGATCATCGGAAGAATTAACGATCGATTACTGATTAATCATTAACGTTTTTATATTAAAATGATCATCATTATTATTACTATCTGCACTACTAATCTGCATAAATAAATTCAACTTTACGACATATAAACCGTAACGACTCTAGAGCCACATCAGCCTGTTTGACATTATAATGTGTTTAATTCAGTTTAGCGTAACTCTCACAGAAACAAACTTAAAACCGCATCGCTAATTTGCATAAACTAAGCGAAGATAAAACTACAGCTCTTGTGTCGCTGATGTGGTTCAACTTCTGTCGGATTAAAAGACATGACTCAGTGGAATACAGGTTAGTGTGACCATATTTGCGTTTGTCAAAACCAGGACACCGTACGGGGGGAGGGAGGTGGGGACTCGTCATCAACATTGCGCGACTCTCACCTGGAAAAGCTTTTTCCCACTGGACACCGAAACATATGTGCTGCTTTGTACACTGTGCACATGGCCTCACACTTGTCCCGAACGCAACGGAAAGTGGGGAATTTCTTGTACAAGTCATCATTAAATAAGCATTTGTGCTTCGGTACGTTGCAGACTGACCGACTGTTTGTGTTTGCTCGCTCTTTCTGAGTGCAGAGACACATGTACGGACCCCTGTTTGGTCACGCTACGCACAGCAACCTACATTCGGTTTGTCGATTAAAATTAACATAATCAATGAAATTCTTAATGATCAATTATCGATTAATCATGCCCATCCCTAATTGGTTATATAAAAAAAGTACCCGCCTACCATCGAGTGAACGAATCCTAATGCGGTTTCCACGAAGTGAAACCGAATGATGAATCAGGCTAATGGTAGCGGGCCTTCAACCTGAAAATTTACGCAGCACACTTTTACACATCAAGGCTATTCTGTCGTATTCATCTATCTCTTTACAATAATTCATTACATTATCTTATTTTTCTACGCAACTTTGTCTCTCACGGAAAGCTAATTGGTCATTATAGGTGAGCAAATGAAACAAATTTGTATTGATTCACCATGACCTTTACTTCTAACCCTTCCCAGTCAATTCATTCAAGGCTATTTGCGGCATTCTACTCGCCTATTATTGCAACATTAGCATATTTATGTCCCGACAATGACCGTAACCCACTTATGCAAACAACGCGTATTTACAATGCAGAGAAATTACTCGGCATGATCTTCCATTTGCACAAAGCCTAATAAAAATTCCATAGAAGCATCGCCATTGGTGTCTATAAGATCGCTATAATAACTGCATAGGAATACTCAAATATTAATGGCAATCTAACTAGCAACCATCGCCCTACAGCT